TTTTGTTTGTTTGTTTGTTTGTTTGGAATTTGTACATGATCTAAGTGTTGTCTGTATTTGTTTGGAGTTTTTTTTTTTTCTCTCTGCCTTGCCATGTGAGCGTACACGTCAATGCGCTCCACGTGGCGCTTACTTGCGTCATATGTACAACATTTTCCGCTTGCTTGTTTGCTTAAATGAATGCGTTGTCTGGGGCGGCAGTGAGAGGGATCCCACTTTGACGATATGAGTATCTTATCTTTCCTCTCCGTATCTCTTTGCGCCGGTAGTTATAGGACCGTTACGCGCTCTCGCTGCGCTTGACGGAGGAAGTGAAATATGAATAAACGCCAAACCTTACAGGAAAGCACGTCTAAGCAGGCGGCTGCGGCGGGAGAAGAGGGGAATGCAGGGACGCCAATCAAGTTTGTGACGTACTCCGGAACGGAGCCTGCTGGGTTGAAAGGTGAGCCGAGACGAACTTCACCTTCCCGTGCACACTTACTCGCGCCACCGCTCTCACCCGTCGAAAAGGCGGTGTTTGACATGCCCATTGAGAAGTGGAAGACCGTGGACCGCAGTACCCTTCCTGGTTGGCGCTGCACCGTGCCTCACCCGGTCACACTGAGTGATCTGACGCCGGTGAGTCTGTCGCACCCCATTCTGCAGCGCATCGCCCTCTACAAGGGTCCCGTGACGGACCTGCAGCTGGATGCCATTGTAAATGCGACGAGCACGCGCTGCCTTGGCGGTGGGGGTGTTGATGGAGCCGTACATACGGCGGCTGGCCCGTTACTTTTGCGTGAGTGTGCCACTTTTAGTGGCTGCGGGATTGGGCAATGCAGGATTACGAAGGGCTATGGACTCCCCGCCCGCTACGTGCTGCACACGGTGGGGCCCACGCTGGAAAAACCGGAGTTTTTGCGAAGCTGCTACCGTTCTATCCTTTCGCTGGCTCACCAAAATCGGCTGCGTACCGTTGGGTTTTGTTGCGTGGCCACTGGCGTCTACGGCTATCCACTGCTTTCCGCTACTCGCATTGCCGTCAGCGAAACTGTGGCGTACCTGAAGAAAGAAACCACCGCGTTTGATCTCTGCTGCTTTGCTTGCTTTCGGCCAGAGGAGTATACAGCATACACCGACTGCCTGCGTGAGTGCGTTGATGCAGCGCCAACTCCCTCTGTCGAGTCCTAGCGCAGTTCTTTAACAAGGAGGCATACACGCATACTTTTACCCACGTGTTTTGTGAAGCATAAAATGAAAAGGAAAATAAAAAAAAAATAAAAGGTCGAAGACGGAGAATGCTGATTTGCTCACATCCAGCATTTTTAATTTTACGGGCGTGGGGTGGAGGTAATGTAACTTGTATGTGTGAGGGATGAGGGGTGAGGCCCACCTGTCGATGAGGAGAGTCTTTAAGTTTTGCATAGAATAAAAACGGACGTGTGGGGGGTGGGGGGTGTGGGGTGAGGGGGTGAGGGTGGGGGGTGAGAAAGAGGAGTAGGTGAAAGAGAAGGAGGAATCACCTCCATGTCTTGGGCTTGCTGTCTGTGTTTTGTGCACCACACACATCCATGACTAAAACCATGGAGGTCTGCCAGAAACAACACGCAGGGGGGGAAGAAGGACTCAACCGATGCTCGGCACGCCGTAGGCCAACTTTTAGTAATCATCAGGCGCAGAGGGGAGTACGTCCGACGCAAAAGAGATGTCTTAAATGTATGTATTGATATGTGTGTCACATAGCACAAGTTACGGTTGAGCGTGGAAGCTGGCGAGTGCCGTCCATCACCCAGTCATCTTGCCTTGAAGATGCGTTTGTCTCTGGTACTTCTTAGCGTCTCTTTGGTCCCATGGATGTGAGCTTGTCACGGAAGTTTGTTGCCGCCCCACATCTTGGAGTTGCCTCTGAGGATGTTTTTTTATTTTTATTTTTGCTATCATTGGTGGTTCTCTTTGCTTTGGAATGAATGCTGTTGTCTCTCATGTATTCTCGTGTTTCTTGTAATTATTATGTTGTCGTTTTTTTTTTTGGTGTGTTATCTTCACTACGAGCATTTCTTTTGTGTGTGGTTCGTTTGCTTGCTTCTGCATTGCCGTGGGCTTGATTTTGTGTGTACACGCCCCTGTACGTTGTAATGATGGGCGTTAGGTTCTACAGGAGTAGTTGGTGATGGTTCATCGTCTGCTGCTTCCGCTGCCTTCTGCCTTTTCGCCACCGGGCAGTGACGTGGAGACGTACAGCATTTTCACCTACGGTGCTCACGGCGCCGCGGAGCAGCATCCGCAGCTAAAGGCGTATATTGACAAGCTTGCAGCCTTCCTCCGTAAGACGCGTCTTATTCAGTACCACCCGGAGGACTTTTTCCGCATATTTCTCTTTCATGAAGGGCAAGATGCCGCTAATAATGCGGAGGGGCTGGCGCACTTGGACGGCAGCGCCGTGCAGGAGGAGGAGGTGACGTACATGCGGGGCCTATGCGAGGCCTTCTCCACTCTGGCGTCGGACGATAACACTCTGGTGGGTGAGTTGCATTCCATTATTCGTGATGGCCCGCCAGTAGGCGCTGCGGCGGAGCTGCACGCATTCTTTTTGGAAACGAGGACATTGCAGATGAATCGGCAGCGGCGCCCGCAAAATGATGCGGCAAATCTGACGCTCCGGACCACCCAAGACGTGTCTGCTGTTGCAGCAGCATCTTTGGCATCATCTCCACCGGATGCGAGACACATAGATGCTGATGCACGGGAACAGCATCGTCGAGCTCGGGTGATGGAGGCCGTGCTTGGGCACGGTATGGGGACAAAAAAGCAGCATGAAGTGAGTGTTATGCGGGACACGATTGTGGACCTTGTCAACTGCTGTAATTCCGCCCAGAGAGACACTGGGTTACCGCCGGAGGAGCTAGTGGAAACCGTTTTAAATGTTGGCGAAGGCAAAGGTTACGTTTCACGGGCACTCGCCTTGTGTGATGGGCTGCAGGTGGTTGGGCTCGACTGCAACTCCTCACACAAGGCCCGGGCGGTGGAGCGGGTGCAGTTTCTGCTACAGGGACGTCTTTCCGTGGACGCGGCGCAGGGGGTATCTGAAGGTCGCGACATGCTTAACTTGATTTATGAGCCGCGTGGTCATATGGCCACTGTTGCGTGTCGGGTTGGGCCATACATGAACTGGGCGGAGGTGCTTCGGGGCCACGTTCGCCTCTCTGACGGGGCGCCTTCGGAAAGTTTTCTGGGTTCTGTGGGCCTGACTGCAGTTGAGCAGACGGAACTCGAAGAAACGGAGGCATATAGAACCTCAAGGCTAGTCGACGACAGCACGAAGCTTCAGTGTCGCATCTGCTCTTATATCGTACGACGGGGGAACATCATGGCCATCATGCGACACGCACGACATCATCTCCAGACTGACGACGCGACGAGGCTGGCGGAGCTGCCATCGATGAACACATTGGATGAGTGGAACCAAAAACTGTCGGGGCAAGCATTCAACAAGAAGGTCATCACCACCTTCTTTACTGACGAGGTGACGTATACTTCCAAGGCGGCTGCGGAAAACACGACATCTGCGAAGCGAAGTCGCGTGGCATCAGAAGGGGGCTGCATGGGTGGCGTAGCAGCAGCACGGGACATGTTGCGTGATATTTTGGACACATATGCGTGTTTAACGAACTTGCAGCTGCCGCGTGGCACACGTGCGGAAGTACTTTTACCCGTAAAGCAACAAAAGCAGCTGCCGCCGCCAGCATCCCCACAACGGCAATCGCAGGGAGAAGAACGATTGGTGGAGGGGGCAGAGGGACCCGGTGCATCAGACAATGCCGTGTACCGGTATGAGCAGACGTCTCTCACCGTCGTTGGGTATGATTACGCCCACAACCGTCACTTTGTCATCATGGACGATGGGAGACAAAAGCAATCTGTGACGTTGTTGCAGTGTTGTCATGGCTCATCTCAGGCAGATGAGGCCTTCGTTGAGACTCTCCATCTTCCGCCTGCAGCAGATGTGTGGGATATGAGGCTGGCCGTCGTGCGCCGCGTGGTGCCTCCGCTTCCCCCACGCATGCCGGTTGTCTACGTCCCTGACCTTCGCAACGTTGTCATGATTGGGCTTCACCCGTGTGGCGACCTGGGGTCCAACGTGTGCCGTCTTTTCGCAGAGAGTGCGTCGCGCGGGCTGCTGCTTGTGAGCTGCTGCTGGCATGCACTGACGAATGATGGGTTTCCGCTCAGCCGTGAGCTGCAAGAACGCGGGTGGCAAACGGAGCACTTATCCCTTCTCCTCGCCACCCAGCCGTTTGATATGTGGTCCACCGTCTCCGCCAGCGGGCACCGCGCATCCGCCTGCGTGCTTTTTTACCGTAGTCTCCTGAAGCTATTTTGGAACCGCCTGCGGGAACGCTGGCGCCGTGCCACGGCCGCGTCGATGGCGGGGCCACCGTGCTGCCCATTCGTTGAGGTGCCTCACTTGGAGCCGGCGTTTCTGCGCCGAATTGCCAAAATAAAAAGCACCATAACGATGGAGGTGCTCTACGTGGAGGTGTGCCGCGAGTATTTTCCAACTGAAGCCGCAACGCCGAAACAAACGCAAGGCGTATGGCACCAGCACATCTGTTCTTCCTGCCGCGAGGCACAGAGTAATTTTTTGGTCTCCGACACGAACGTGGCGTTGGCGACCGAAATTGGACGGGAGTTTTTTGCTGCCTACTTTGTCCCTTTTCTCGGCATGACGGTACTTCGGATGTGGATGTGTCATCTCGTTGAGGCGCTGCTGTTGTTGGATCGCGCCCTGTTTCTTTCCGAGGCGCTGCAACGGGATTCACGCTGCCGTGGGTCTGTTGTATCACTTGTGCCGCTCTTCGACGGCGCCATCTCGCCGCGGATGTTCGGCGTATTGGCCCGCCGCATCCCATGCGGTGTGCCGGCCAATTGAGGGCTTATAACTTATGGAGCAGTCCACTCTTTGTTATTGTTTTTGCATTGTGCGACACGTTAACTAAGAAAACAAGTGAATACAGTTTGTAATAAAATAGGTGTTCGGTGTGCCGGACACACTTCCTGTTGTGTGCTTGATTTCTCACTCTATCGGCCTTTCTGCACACCGGCACTTTGTTTGCGCGTTTTTATTCCTTTTTTTTTTTACTGTTTGCGCCTTTTGCTGCGCCTCTTTCTCTCTGCGCGCAGGTGTGTGCGACAAGGGCACACTGTTTTGGCCTCTTTGGTGAGCGCAACACTCCACAGCCGCCACAACAACGTCGTTGCACCTGTTTTTTTTTTTTCTGGGACCGGTGCATTTCATAGTTCGAAGAGATGGAGCCTGGTTGTCGATGCCGTGCGCTGCCGCAGCACAGCGGTTGGACACCGTCAACCCGCAGTCTGGCAACTTCCCTCTCTGGTGTTGCCCTGACGGACAATCCGTGCATGCAGTGTTGTCAAGAAGAACCTAAAGCTGATGCTTATCGATCGCCTGTAGTTGTAAGACGTAACACCTCGCGCTCTGCGTTGACGCAGGAGTGGATTAGGCGACTGCCAGGCAAGGACGCGGCAACTTTTTTACCGTGCGCTAACGAGCACAATCTGCATCATTTAGGGGCCGAGGTGCCAGGGGCCGCAGGAGGCAGCACATCATCTGCCAGGGAGCTAACCACGATGACAAACCTGCAACAACTGCTGCGTGTGGAGCGGGCGATGCGGCTTGCGGCGGAGCGACGCACAGTAGAGGAGATGGAGCATGGGGTGCGAGCCGCGATCACCGTTGAGGCAAATTACGGTTCCAGGCTCCTCTACTCCATCCTTCTAGAGGCAATCGCGTCCACCTCACCCGCGAGTACCGACACGTCGCCGTGGGGAGGCCACAGGAGTGAAACACAATCTCAGTTTCCTGCCGCAGCTTCTTGCAGCAGGAGTGTCCCGCTTGTTCTGAGTGCGTCAGCGTCTGTTGCGGATACCGCTAGTTACCGGAAACTTTTGGAGGAGAACCGCCAACTTAGGGAGGAAGTGCGGCGGTACAAGTCCATCGACATAGAGGACCGGTACGAAGTAAATGAACTGCACCGAAATATGCAGGCTGTGATTGACAGGCTGACACTTGAGCGTGACAGGTTGCACGCGGAGTTGGCTGAAAGGCAGTGGTGGCCTGATGCGACGCTAACGGGGTCATCGGAGCCTGGGAGGATATCGCCGAAGACTACAACCGAGCAGTCATCGTGGCACTACACGCACATAGTTGATGCAACTGCAGTTAACAGTGAGGAGTCCCCCGAACACGCCTGTCGCCCACGGGTCCTACCGTTGCCATGAATCAAATCCTCACCGATGCAATGCCACACTTCAGCAGAAGGGAGAGAAGATGAGTAAACCGTACGACTGGAATGCATCTTTGCATGCACACATGCATCCATATATATATGATAACGATTCTTGTAGGCGTTGTCAGGGCGGGAGTGTTGGATTTGCAGAGCCGAAGGTGCCATATTAAGACCAAGGTGATAAACGAAGGAGTGTTTGTGTGTGTATGAGTTAAACGAAACAGGGAGGATGAACCTGCAGCAGTATGTCTATGAATAAAATACTCCTTCCTTGTCGTTGCTCTTGCGGGGGTGTTGCTGCTGATGGTGGCCCTATGATGACGTTCCTATGATCATGAATACATATGGTATTCCTCTTCTCGCTTATTTTTTTGTCCCCCTTCTTCTGCTGCAGTGCATGCCGTTTTGCCGTTGAAGAGTTTATTATTTGCCGTGGGGTTATGACAGAGGGACGACCTTTTACGCTTCGCTGCTGGGACGTGTGTTTACACTATGAACTTTCATGCGCGGAGGTTTGGGCTGAAGCGTGCAGGAACACTTTTACTATGAGCGACTGGTTGTGGTCTGCCGCAGTGCCTTCTATTATGGATGCTACGGCAGCGATGGCACTTCGTCACGTCACATGCGATTATATTGCAGCTACACGCGAAGAAATTGCAGAGTCTTTGCGCACGTTTAAGCATGAACAAGTCGACACCAACGGGGATGCTGGGGCTGAGCGATTGTCGCTGCAAAACTTTTTGCTTTTGTTGGAACCCTTAACGCTTGTGGCAAATGCGGTGCCGGTTTTGGAGGAATTCTTCAATGACGTTCTGCAGCGTGATAAGCTTTGCGCGCGGTGCGTGATGGAGTCGATGGACGCTCGTGCTGGCCTGGAGACGCAGGAGCAGGCTGCCAGAGAAGATGCTGTGTCATCGTTTCGTCGTTGGCAACACACGCAAATGCTACAAGACCGCCTGCGGCAGCAGCGCATGCATCTCTCAACGCTGCACGCACTGGATGATGGGAATGTGGCGGATCGTGTGAAGATTTCACTGATGCGACGGGCTGTAAGTGTGGAGGAGGAGCGGCGGCAGCAGCACATTGCGGCAGAGGCGTCAGAGATGGAGCGCATTGTTCGCATCACTGACACGCTGGAGACTCTCCACGACCAGCTGCACGTTGCAGAGGAGTACGAAGCTCTCGCCTTGGCCCCGCTGCTAAAGGAGCAATTGGATCTCATTACAGACGCCGCTTCAGAACCCTCACGACGGGCTCATTGGGAGTCTCGGCTGGGCGTGATGGAGCGGCAACTGGGAATATTGGGTCGCTTTGCTGTTGGGCTTTCCCTTGTAAGCGGCGGTAGATGCAAACACGACGCGATTCTGCAACAAATGCAAGACACCTCATCAGGTTTTGCCGCTAACAATACTCCAGCTGCAGCGTTACCCGCGACCGGCGACCTGGCGTGGCTCGCTGGCGATGATGCTCTGGACCCTGCAGGCAGTTATTACGCTTCTACCGCGACGGCCGCCACGGAGTCAGGCGCGTCCGTCCCAGACGCCGCTTCTTCGCTGTCAGTGTTGCTTCGGCAATGCCTCTGCGATACCTCGTCCTACAAGGCAACAAACGGGGTCTCGACCCAGGGCGGATGGGAAGTTCCCTCCGCTGAGGACCGCGGCGAAATGGAGGGAGTCTTGCGCCAGGTGTTTGATTCATTGACGCACCTTAATTATCTTGCAGTTCCGTTTCTACAGGAATTTGCAGCGACGCTTGACGGTGTTGTGCTGTTCCCCTCTTTTGAACTTTTTGTGACGGAGTGCGAGATGAGTGTCATTGGCTCCAGCAAGCTTGTCTTCTTCAGCCATTGCTCCCATCGGCTTGATGCCAGCATTGTCACTTACCTCAAGTCTCTGGTGCGAAGTGAGGGGAGCTGGATGGCGGAGTACGGTATGTGCTTCGACGACTTCCTCGCCTTCCTTGTGGATCAAGCCGCCGTCGAGTATGTGCGGCACGCGTACCTCTTTTCACCGAAGACGCTCCTGACGAGAATTCTGTTGGAGATCGTCGTGCCGAAGTGGCTAAACCGGCTTAGTGGGGGAAAGGCTACATCATGCACTGCGGTGGTGGCAGCATCAGCGGTGGTGCCCACGGATGCAGGGCGAGTAGACTCTGTGAATCGGGTTGTGGATTTTGAGGACGGGAACAAGGACGATTTGTGCCTGCTTTTGGACACCGCCGTGACGTGGCTGGGTATTGCCGGTCGCTCTCTGCAGGACTTTGCACGGGCGTATCGCACACATGTGATGGACTACGCGTTTGCCATGAAACCGAAGCCAAACTTCGGGTGAAATCACCACCACGCGAGCTTTGATGACCCTGCTGTTTCCGACAGCAGGAAACTCGCCGGAGCTGCGATGCCACTCATCACGATGGGAGGTGCTGCGGCGCACACACGGCACTTTGTTTGCCAACCTAAATGTGTTGGTGGCAGGTGACGGCAGCCTTGACAGTGTGACAGCGTGGCTCACTCTTGGCGTAGACGGCATTGAGAGGGAGGAGCTCATGCGGCGAAGCATAGGTGTCATGGAACGTATCCTCCGCGCCAGTGTAGACGAGGACGCCTATTTTAACAGGACCCGTCACAGCCTCCCAGTTCACGTGTCCTACGACACACCGGTCTCCTGGATTTTGACATTGGCTGTGTGTGTACGCTTGACGTTTAGCACCGGCCTGGCCACGTGCGGGCTGGACGAATTGTTCCAGCGCCTCACCGCATGAAAGTGAACGGTGTTTTTCATTGGAGGCACCTAAAGGCATGCACGTGGTGGATTTCCCACCGCACCTCTTTTCTGTCGCACTCTGTGTCTGCGAACCTGTATGTCTGCCTGTAGAATATATATATATATATATATGGTTAAGCCATATGATTTACATTGACTGTCCATTCAATGCTTTTTTTTCTCTTGCCGCATGCGCCCTGTACTCCCTTTCTCTCTTTCTCTCCACGTTTTTCTTTGTTTCATATCTTGTTATTTTGGTTGGATGCGTTAGCAGCGTCGCATATTTGTTCCACAGCGTGATTTCTTTGGGCTTGACCAACACACACACACACACACACACACAGCACACACTTACATTTTGCAATTTTGACGGTTCCAAAGGTCCAACGGAGGAGGTGGACGACTTCTTCGAGCAAACACTGCGACCACAAGGAACAGCAAGCTGAAGGTAAAGGGAGAAGACGGAGGAACAACAGAGAGCGAGCAGGAAAGGTAATAACACACTTTGGGAACGTTCATTCGACGGAGAAGGAAGGGGGCGGAGGTGAGGGAGTTTTTTAGAGAGAAATGAGTGAACGGATACCGTCAAGAAGTAGTGAACGGGGTGGCCCTGCTGTCACGGCTCTTTATGCTAGCGGCGTCGAGGACGATGTCGGCTCCGGCAGCCGCACTCACCAACCGTACGCTAGGTTCTACTGCAACAACGGGAGTAATGGCAACCAGTACCACTACCCGTCAGAGAAGAATGGTGGATGCATGGTATCGAGTCCGTTGCAAGTACACACGCACAATACGCACGATGACGGGGAGGAAGATCTAGGCTTTTCCGCTTTGAATGTGCAGGCACGTTATCGCCTACAGAGCCTCTCGCACAGTAACAGGGCATGTGATCCACATCTTTCAACGTCCCCACCATACGCGTGGAGTAGTAATAGCTCCTTTCATGGGGATGCGAGTCAAAGCCGGTTTGCAGCACGGCCACTATCTAGTGCGCCCATTCCTGTGGAAAAAAAGAGTGATTTTATGGATAGCTTTGGCAGTAGAGGAGTATCAACATTTTCGGGCAGCTATGCCCCGTCAGGATTTGCTATGCCACCTGCTCTTGCTGGTAGTGCGTCCCCACCAACGAATAGCACGAGCCTCCGATCTCCGCATCATAATCAACGTGCCACACCGCGGAGTTTGGGATCACCAAATTCGGCACAGCATGGGGTTGACTTTGCCTCTCCCATTTTGTTTTCCGTGTCTTCACCGGTCCACAACGAACTTTCACCCATTCAAAATTTGTCGATCCCTGTGAACGGCGGCGCGGGGATGCGGGGGGGGCATGGAATCATCGTGGAGCAGCAGCCACAAGGCCGACAAGGGAGACTGGGCACAGGCGTCAGCGATGGGAACTCAACCATTTCTGGAAGTAGCACGAGCACAGTACGGGACGACCTGGCCTTATGCCCAAAAGACGATCTCTGCACACAAATCAACGATCGTAAGCACCAACGGAAATACGCACACACGTGTCGCCTTTTCCCCTGCTACCACGGTCATGTCGCACGCCACGGTAAACTGTTTCGTCACGCTCCTGGGCAAATCGCACAAGGCGATGCTCTCACCGCCGTGAAAGGAACACCAAAAACGTTTCCAGCTGAGGCACTAGTGAGTGTCAACTTCAGTTCCATTAGCCCGCAGGCAAATAATGCCTACCGCATTATTGTTAGCCACGGTGATCAGAGCTACGAGATATTTGGCGACTGGCAGAATGTTCGTGTGCACACGTTCAAGCGATACCTGCATCAGGTGTACAAAATCCCTCCAACCTCGCAGGTGCTGGTGCGGGTGGATGGTGGTCTGCTACTGGACGACGACCTTGAGCCTGTGAGACGCTACGGTGTGATGCCAGGCACTGTCATAGCACTTAAACGCAAGGGGGATGAGGATACCCCGCGGGTGCCGCCTGATGAATTGTGAGGCGGTCGGCGCGGCGCTGGGCGGCGAAGAGTTAGCGCGGCTCTCCCACCCTTAATTTATCCTGTCAATCCTTTTTTCGTTCTGCAACTCACGATACCTTTGCTACAAGCAGCCACCGTCTCTCCACCTCTAAAAACGAGATAAAAACAAAAGCAAGATACAAAAACCGTGAACGGCGTGGCCGTAGATGTGTCACCGCAGCCAAACTAACGGCGACGGTAGGGGGGAGGCCGGGAGCGCGGGGTGGAGATGAAGTCCCCGCACAACCGCCCCATGTCACAAACGACCTACGAAGGAGTCACAAAAAACAATGTTGACGAAGCTACCAAAGAGAAGATGAACCAGCGTAAGAGAGCTAATATGGGGGTGGGGGAGGGGGGAGTAAAAAAATTTATTTATTATTTTATTTTTTTGCTGTTCCCTCATCTTTTCCCCTTTGCATTACGTGGGTGTGCGGCGAAGCGGATCGCGCTGCGCTGCGCGGCTTGCAGTTTTGTGAAGTCGTGTTTGTGTTCATTGTGTATGCATTGATGTTTCTGCGCCTGCTGTACGGTTGTTCCACCGTGAAGAAGAATGGGTCGAGGCAGGCGAGAACCGCACAAAGATATACATTCATACATATTCTTATCTACGTATTTTTGCGCGTGCGTTTTATTGGTCAGATAACTTAATAAGCGAGGAAATAAAACGTGGAGGAAAAAATGTAAGGGAAGGAAGTATGTGAGGCCATCGAAGTGCGGTATAAGCCAACACGGAAAAAACAAAAGAAAAAACAGAAATAAAACGTCGTCACCGCAATACATCTTAATGAGTGTACGCATATATTCATGCATATGGGTGAGCAACGTCGACAGGTGCAACTAGTAGCGTAATCACACGCAACAGGATAAGTAAAAGCAGCTCTCGAACGCCTTAAAAAAAAAAGACATAAAATGGTGGCGAAGAAACGGCCGTTTGTGGAGGAATGAAGAGCGGGGAAGAGAAAAAAGAGAGGCTGGAAAGATGAGACCTTCTCAGGTTGTGAAGGATGAAGTTGGAAGGATGTTTTGGGGTCGAGAGCTGTGTAGCAGCGGTGGGAACTGAGATACTTAAGGAGTGAAGGACAGACGAGAGTCAACAGTGCAGTAGATACTCTCAATACATCTACGCACGTGCCAACTTCTTGGAAGCAATGTACGTCTGAAATGTAATAACGTTGATTGAAAGGAAAAAAAAACATACATATATAATAATATATTTTATGCCTATATATATATACAACATTGCATGTACAAGTTTGTGTAACTTGTGCTCCACAACTTATTGGAGGGGGGAAAAAAAGTGAGGGCCCCCACACGAGTCTCTGAAGTGGGACTAAGAGAGGAATAAAAGATCGAAACCAGGTGGTGTTGGTGGGTGGGTGGGTGGGTGAGGGTGGGGGAATAAATGAAGGAAACAAATTACATACATATCCCATATTTAAAGGAGGAAAAGACGCACCGTTTTTTTTTTTTGTCCGGGTTTGTGTGTGAACACGACGAGAAGCGGGAAACAGGGGGCGTTTGTGGTGAGTGAAGAGCCTGGTCGGCGTCTGCATCCGAAACTAAGGGAGGCACACGCGACGAAATAGCAGCGAACGAAAGGAGGAGGGAGGGAGGGGGAGAGAAACAAGCATAAGACGGATATATATATATATATATATATAATAAAAGAGGATAAAGAGTTGTTTAATGATCCAGAGTAGTAGGCGGGCGTGGAAGAAGACATCAAACGCCGTGAGCCTTTATCGGGGCTTTATATATATATATATATTGCCTCTGCCTCTTTTTGTCTCCTTCAATGGTCGCACATATATATAACTACATACTTCTGTTTTGCTTTATTTTTCTGCGTCTGTGTTTGTGTGTGGGGTGCGTTTGGTTGTGAGTGAGGTGG